ATTGCATAGGAAAAAGACAGGTCTAAGACTGCCTTGACATTTGAGGTGAAGGGGGATACATGGGGTAGAAAAATAGCACTCTTTGGATGATTAACAGGGAGTGTTTTCAATCTACTTAAGTAATCCAAAAGTAAACCACAAGAGAAAAGGAGAGGAAGAGAAGAGTTCTTTCCTTGTACCCAAACCAAACACCACAAAATAATGTTGCCATGCATTCTACTGGATTCTAATACAGGCAGTCAAACCCTGACTTTGTTTACAAAAGGTGGCCCAATCTAGGAGGTCAGTGAGTCATACTAGGCTGCACCTGACCCTGAACCCTCTGGCAGGCTCAGAAAGAAAGGAAATGGAGGATCAACAGCCTCTGCTGCTCAAGATAAACACAAGGACCTGGGATTCGAGGGTAAAAGCACAAAGAATCGCTCGCTGCTTGCTTCCACCCAGGGCCACCCGAGATGAGGAAAGCAAGTTTGTCTTTGACACCTCCCACTGCCCTTTCAGCATCTACGTGGGTCCAATTTCTGCCTCTTCTCACTCTCATTTCTGCCCTGACCTCCTCCTCCAATCGAATTGGGGTTCATCTGGAAAGGATTACATCCCCAAATTCATTTTCACACCAGGCCAGGTGTCGTAGCTGCCAGGGAGAGCAGCATTTTATAGGTCAATTTCTGAGGTCAAAGGAATGGATGTCTCCTGCGGGAAACAGGGCTGAGGGCAGTGGAGACCTTGCCCTGAGAAGCAGGCTTCCCGGGGTTGAGTGACAGCTGCTGACTTGAGGCCAGGGCTGTCCTCCTGTTGTAGGCAGCAGCACCCAGGGAGTAGCTACCCTGCTCCACTCCACTGAACCCTCCAGAGCAGCACGCAGAGCATAAAGCACAGGCTTCTGAGTTCCCCCAGCCAGAGGAGCGCCCTGAAAAGCTCCTTCCACAAACCTTGCCACCCCATCTCTTCCCATTTTGTAAATGTGATGCTGCCTCCGCGTTCTCTCCTAGAGCTGCCCAAGGCTGCTGTGTCAGGCAGAAAGTGGGGAGAGGGGCCCAAAGCTCTCTCTGCTTTCTTTCTCCACTTCCTTCTCCTGCTCTGCAGCTCTCCAGCAGGCACACAAAGGACAGCCTGGCTCAGAGAAGCCAGCTGGGCACTTACTCCTTGTAGGAAATTGAGCCCAGAGGACCAGCATGTGAGGCAGACATTTGTGGGTGGAAAGGTGGGCACGTGCAGAGAAAGGGCACCTCTGATCCAACCAGAGAAGACTAAAGCTATCGCGCTCCGGAGGGCGCCTCGTTTGATCCCTTTGATTGAGCCTTGCGGCTTTTACGTATTCATTTGGTTATCAAGTCCTAGGAACCAATCCTTGTGAATTTTGCTGCTCTCTGGAATGACCCAGGAAGAGATGACTGGCGAGAGAAGGCTCTGGGGGGAGGGGGGTGACCCGGCTGCCAATGTCGCCCCTAGAAAGCCTTCTTTTCAACTACCTTCCTGACTGCTTAGGATGAATTTTAATAGCTGCTTTTCCTGGGACAGTTTTCCTTTGAACTCCCAAGCTTCCCTTCACGGCAAGTTTCCATAATATGAACCAGATTTTTTTTTCTCCCTCTTGTTTTCTTAAAAGGCGTTAACTATAAATTAGAGTATCTGAAGAGTGAGGTGTCACATGTGGGCCTTAGGTTCCTCCGCCCTGGAGCCCCGGGGCTGGGAGAGGGGCTAGGCTCTTTGGCTGCCGAGCTCCGAAGGCCAGGCCAGGGATGATTCCAGCCTCCTCCTCAAAGCTATCCGATTACATCAATTACAGAAAATGCCTTGTTTGACTTGAACATTAAGTTTTATTCCTTTAACAATTTTTTTTCTTTCCTAGAGGAGCAAGAGGGGGAAAAGAGGTTTTAAATGTACATTTTTTTCTGAGTTATTTTCCATGCAATTTTTCATCCTAACCAGCATTTACCCACCATGGATGGTGGGTCCATATGCAGTGCACCCATGCCTGCAGGGGACACCTGGAGGTGCCCATGTCTCAGGGCGGTCAGCACAAGAACAGCTCCCTCCATTAGATGTTTACCAGAGGCATGCTCACCAGCCTTAGACTCGGCCTGTGACACCACTTGACAGCAAAGCTCCCGGCAAGCAGGTAGGCATTATTTTAAAGTGTAGTTCGGCTTCATTTTTTATGACACCTGAGTTCACAGCTGTTACTCAGCGCCAACATTTAGGAAACAGTCACCAAAACCAATTGTTCAGTGTAAACCCAATTGTTCTGTGAGTATGAGAGAAAAGAGAGGCAGTGTGTGATCTCTGGTGTCTTTTCTTATGTGGACACACTAATCCCACCATGGGGCCCTTTCCCTGTGACCCCATCTAAACTAATTAACCTCCTCAAGGTCTGCCTCCTAAGACCAGAGCACTCTGGGAACCCAAAGCCAAAGTGAGCTGGGTCTTCCTTCTCACACAGGAAAGTGGAGCCTGAGAGATATCACGCAAGTGTCCCCTGCAACACAGGACAGCTGCAGGAGAGGAGAAATGGGAGTGCGGTGAGTCTAGACAGTGAGAAGAGCTGCAAGTGGCAGAGGCCACTGAGGGGCTGCAGGAAGTGGGCAGCCTAGAGCTGGGCTCAGGGTGGGGTGAAGGGAGCCTGTGGCATGGTCCCAGACTCAAGAGAGTTGGAGCTGACTGAGAAAGAGTGGCTATGCAGAACTAGAGCCCAGCAGCCTTGGGTACCACGCCTGGGCACACATGATGCACTCAGAGGGGCAGGTCCACAGGGCTGGCCACACTGAGAGACAGGAGCTGCCCAAGAGCACAGGCTGTCCAGATGAGTCCAAACCAGGAACGCTGACTATTTTGCTCAGAAGACAAAATAGCACCGGCCTCAGCCTCATGCCTCTAGTAGAAATGGGCTCAGTCACATCAAAGCGACAGCTCACATGGATGAGGAAAGCAATGCTCAGAGGCATGCAACTTCTTAGCGATCAAACCTGGTTGTGAACTTGACTCTGTGGAGACGCAGCTCAAAGCACTTTCTGTTCCTTCCCTGTATTCCTCTCCTCCAACCATCTATGGGAAGGCCCCGGGGGCTCTCCTGGGTGACAACGAGGCCCACAGGTATCCTCAGCTGCCTGCCCATCCTCCGGGGGCTGCAATCATAGGGTGCCCGCAGGATGAGTCTCCACTCCTGTCCCAGGCAAAGCCTTCCTCTCGGATTCAGTGCCACCTGGTTGGCGAAGAGGTGGCCATGTGGATGTCCAGCCACCAGACTCAGTAACTACACTGGCAATAGCTCTGCCGTCCCTGGAGTTTTCAAACACCCGCTGCAGGATTCAGCTATCTGGCCAACATCAGACCTTTCTCTTTGTTCCTGCTTTTGACTCCATCTGGACCTGTGAATCACGTCTCACTTAGGGCCACCTGGGTCCATGCTGGATGACTGTGACCTGGGAATGGCTTCTTTTCCTACTTTTAATCCTAAGTGGTTTTTTCCTAAGTGCCTACAAATCCTATTATGAATCTGTAGAGACAGCTGCCTCAAGAGCTAGACAAAGACTTAGGCTGGTAAATCTCACAAATACACATTGGTGTTAAAGTGTCCTGCTTTGCATGGGTTAGTGGTTCTGTATTTTGGGTGCCGACCAACTTCCTCTCGGTTAAGTATTATTTCTAAAATGCTATTTTAACCTGCACCTCAGTTTCACTTTCAATGTTTTACTTCTCATTTTAGTCCCAGCACTTTTGATGGCTCAAGTTACAATGATTATAAAATGTCTGCATGCAACGGGGTCAAGGGATTAAGATCACTGACTCCTGTGACTTTCATGTCGGGTGAGATGGCACAGTAAGCGCCGACACAGTGTAGCAGGACCCGTGTTGAGCACCTTACACAGATGCAGCTCATTCAAATTCCCCAAAGCCTCTGTGAAGTAGGTGTGATTATTACCTCCATGTTCCAGAGACACAGAGAGGCTGATGAACCTGCCCAAGGTCACACGGCAGTAAATGTCAAGAGTTCAGACTGGAACCCTGAGTCTCTGACTCCAAGAGTCTCTGGTCCCATTGGACCTCAGATCTTCCCAAGGTCTGCAGTGTCCCTAGGGTACCTCTGGATAATTGGATCAGTCAGTAGAAAAGAGTTTTACACAAGTGGAGGCGGACAATAATATATGTTTTCAAGAATAATTTGAAAGCAAATCCTCTAATTACTAACTCAACACGTTAAGCCATCAGAGTCACAAAAGTCCTGATGCGGCCACTGAGTCTCCTCTGGTGACCACCTTGGGGTACGTGACCAATGGGACAGGTGTCCCTGGATGCCTCAGGCAGTGCTGAGGGTGCCTGCTAGCCTGGTAGGTAGACTGAGGCAGGACAATCTGCCTGGGTCTGCTTACTGGGAGCATGAACAGTGGTAAGGGGATCTGTACGTAATCACTGCAGTGGTTTCCAGTGGTCCCCAGTTTTCACCACCTCTCCTTCCACCAATCCATCCACCAGCCACGCCTGAGAGCCACCAATATTAACTTTTCACCACCTCAATTCCAGAATTTGTTGGTTTCCAACAGGGGGCTAATAGCGCGAGAAACGATTTCTCACTCAATGTATGAGCGCCATCTAGACGTCAGTAGCGGTAACTGCAGATCACACTGGGCAAAATCCTTGTTCCCTGCGTCTTTCTGTATCATCCATGCAGAGAAAAGCAGGAAGAACCCCAGCAAGATCCCCAGGGCAATAATATCTCTAGCGAATGAGGAAATTATTGTGTTTGTTTTTTGGGTTTCCTTATGTAAGATAGAAAAAAGTTAATAAATCTCATTTCTATTACTGTACGGTCATATGCACTCAAAGTGCTGCTGCTGAATGCTAGCTACAAAGATTAGACTTGAGTTAGGCCTAGTTCTTTCCCACGTGGTCTCTGCCATGGGAACGGGGCACCATATATGCCAGGTCTTACGAGGCCCGTATGTAGGACACAATACTACTTTCATGTGGCAACTTTCAAGGGCTGCTATACTTTGTTTCAGGCTGGTGAAGAAATCTCACCACCCGCTGGAGGTGACGCCAGCCTTTGCAGGCATGTTATCCAGCTTCCCTGGCTCCTAACCAGCCCTGATAACGTCTGTGAGGGAAGAGTCCTCGCCACGCCAGACCTGTAATGGAACCCAGCAGACGTCAGACAGGCACATATGCTAAGACAGCTCACGCCTCAGCACCGCTGGCTGCAGTGGGGAAGGAAGGAGGAACAGGGCTTGACAGTACCACTTCTGGCCTGGCAAACTGGGTGTTGTTCATGAAGACAGAGAAGAAAACATCTATGCTGGTGAAGTTATTTTCTTTGGGGGATCGGGAGGCCAGGGTGAGAACGGGTTTTACTGTCTCAGGCTCGAGGTCCCTGTTAGAGCTGAGGTGGAGCCATCCCACAGACACTTGGTAAAGGGCTAAAGTATGGACTCATTCCCACGACTGAGCTTGGCTGAACCTACATTTGGCAGATGTGGAAACACTGTATCATGAAAAGCCTCTGTTATGTCTAATGCTTCATGCTTGAAGAGAAATTAGTGAAATCATCACTCTGGTTAAGTCACCACTTTTCAATTGGCTGAAACAATGACCTTAACCAATGCTTAGCAAATAGCCTACTCAGCTATTTGCTATCCCCATTTGAAATGACCAGGAGGACCCTCTGAGAACACAGAAAGTCTCCTGTGGATCAGGTAGATGAAGTATGGCCCCATCCTATGTGGCCATGAGGTCAAGGGTATCCAGGAAGACCTCATGCAGAATGAACAGATCCCACAATACCCATAGCTCCAGAGGGACAATGCGGTGTCCCAGAGCCACCTGTGGCTGGCTGAGTAACAGGTTCATTCAGACAATATCTGAGCAAGCATTGTGTGCTGACCTCCTGTGCCACACAGTGGAGGGTCAAAGGTGAGTACAACAAGGGTGGTCCCCAGGTCCAGGCATTTCTGGGTGTCCTGGGTGGGCAGGTATGTGAGTCATAAAGGGCAATAAAGGGTTGCAGGCATCCTGACTGAGACACCTGTACGGGGGCACCGTAGGGAGAGGGAGCCACACGTCAGAGTGTGTGAAAGACACGACACCTACGTGGAGCCCGGCAGGAAGAAGAGCTCTGTACCACACGTGCAGGAAGGAAGAGGCATTTCAGGGAGAATCAAGACAGAGACAAGACCACTGGAGAGCGGCACACAGTGGCAGGGGTCGGGCACAGGTCACACTGGGGACTGCGCTCTGGAGTCTGGACTTCCACCTGGCACGGTACAGAGTGGGCACAGAAGCAGGGCGGTCACCGACTGATTTTACTTCAGAATCCCTCTGGCAGTGATGCGAAAGCTCAACTGAGAAGGACAGCAGCAAGGAGAAGCCTGCCGCTTGGTGCAAAACACAAAAGAGAAGTAAAGGCTTGCACCCAAGCAAGGAAGAAAGTGGAGGTAAGGAGTGGGAATTTGGTCTGAGGCGCTGGGAGCCATCAGATACACGTGTACGCAGGGCACCGAGGCTGGCACCCAGCGGACCCAGTGAGTCTCTCACATCCCTGCCTTCTGAAGAGTGACTGGGTCACTGACAGCTGTGTTACTGATGCCCACAGAGGAGACTCCAGCAATCCGGGACACTCCGGGTTCATTTGGCACTTTAGATTTTCTGCTGCATTCTTCATCACTGGGGTTGCGGCATCACAAATGGGAAGGGATCCAGCAGTGACCCAGTCCAACCAAACCTGCATTCAATGTAAACATCTGTTCTCTGCACTGCTGGTCAGTGTTGCGCTCAGCTGTAAGCCTGCTTCTACCTGCCCAACCCACCTCGAGTTCATCTCGCATTTTTTGGGTCTCATTATATAGTACAGGCTAGCCTTGAACTCACTATGGAGCTCCACTGGCCTCAAGCTCACAGCAATCCTCCTGCCTCAGCCTCCTGCCTCACTCAGAGTCTTGGGATTGCAGACATTATGCCTGGCAGGAGAAATTGGGTTTTGTTGACCAAACATCTCCTATCTTTTAAATAGCCCCCTTTGGCCCGGGGCAATCCAAGCACAGGCAGCACCTGGTCCTCAAGTGAGACTCTTACAACAGGAGGGACCCTAGAGACAAGTAAGTCTTTACTTCCAGGATCTGCCTCAGGCTCGCTCTTCTCAAAAAGTAATGAAATGAAGCAGAAGCATTAGAAGAGCATTTGTTACGCACCTCTGCTTTAGTTTTGAAATCACACTTGCTTACTGTATGCAGACTCACAGCATAGCTCAGTAGTTTAAGCAGAGGGAGCCAGAAAGGAAGCAGTTGTGAATAAGCACTTTTTAGGCTTTTCAAAAAGCACAGCCTAGGGATTTTTTTTAAAAAAAGGTCTCAAATGATGCAGCCCTGAAAATGCCAGGCAGGGGGAGCTAGAAGCGACGCCACACACAAGGCTTTTTTGCCTCTGCACTGACGTGATTACCCAAGAGCTGCTTTGATCCTTCCTCTCCGCAAATGTTAGCACTGCCACTCCTTGCACCAAATTCAGAAGTACACTGTGGCTTCTAAGGCAAACCTGGGGAAGTGCTCTCATGACTAAGGGGAACGATCTATTTCTCCTCTGAGATGGGACAGATCCCGCTGGGGCAAAGAGACCTCCCAGCAGCAGAAGCAGCAGGTACAGCGTCCCCTCTGGTCACAGAACTGATGAGCACCAGAGCAGTGCAGGGACACCAGAAGAGGGAGAGGAGCCAGTGACAGGTGTCAGAGCCATGCTGTGAATTCATATTCTTTCTCTCTCTCTCTCTCTCTCTCTCTCTCTCTCTCTCTCTCTCTCTCTCTCCTTTTTCTCCTTCCAACTTTGTATTTTGAAAGATTCTAACACTAAAGGAAAAATCATAAGAACGGTTCACCCAGACACCATGACGTCCTGTTCTGTCTCCTCCCTCTCCCTCCAGGGTCTCTTCCTCAATTCTGCAGCAGCCTCCCAAGCACCCAAGCTCCATGGTCTCTCCCGCAGGACTCCTTGGCATGAGGCAGGCCGGAGATGTGAACCACCTCGTAGAAGTGGTAAGCGTCACAGGGCCAGGGGACTGAGGAAAAGTGGGGGTTGACAGTGCTCGGCTGCACAGTGGACAGGCAGCCTGGGTGGGTGAGAGAGGAACAGGAGCATCTCTGGGGAATGCAGTGGGTGGAATGGAGGGGGGAGGAGAGAGGCACACACCTGAGTTTTGTGTGTCTGCCTTCATCTTCCTTTGACAGTAATGAGGGTTGTTGTTGCTAAACTGTGCTGGGCATCATGTTCCTTAAGGCTCTGCCATGCATCTTCTCCTTTCTTTCTCACTACCTGGCAGGTCAGAGTTGTGATGACCCATTTTGCCGAAGTGGAAACTGAGATTCGTAACAAAGAAGCCCCAACTGTGCATGGCAGCAGGAGTCACCCCTACTGAGGGTCACTCCAGCTTCTTACAGGTCTACAATGAAGCACTCTAGCCTGAGACCCTGAAGGCTTCCTTCTGCTACTGTCTCCTACGCCTGGTGCCCCAAGTCATGGAGTAATGGCCTCTCCAACCCCGGGGCCTTGTAAAACCCATGGTTCCCTTCACCTGAGCCTCGTACAACTTGCATTTCCTGTTCATATCGCCAGGTGGCCCCTGTTGCTCGTAACGGGTCTGATCCCAGGTCAGCATTTGTCTCTGCAACCCTTGATGTCAAGATCCATCTGAGTCCAGATTTTTACACGGGAGACAGCGTCTCATTTAATCCCCCCAAATATACATGAAGGGGCCTCAGAATCTCCAGTTGACAGAGTCTCAGAGCAATTATGTGACCTGCTCAGGGTCACATGGCTGGGCATTTACACTCACGCCAGCTTTGGGAAGGGACCAAGGGGACTAACCGAAAATAGCTAATTTGGAACTAAGTCTGCCCCAAGGTGCTATTTATTCTTGGCATTGTCAAACGGAAGAATCATGCTCCTACTTCACATTTGCCCCCAGCTCTTGTTCCCATTACTCAACTTCCATGTATTTTATTTTGGTTTATTTAGTCTATTGCCCACAATAAATTATTTTCTTATTCACCACTAAAAAAGATGTAATTTCAGTAGTGAACACTAGATGTCACTATCCACCAGCTTTAGAAAACCTTTTGGTAACCATCGCAAGTCTCACACTGACCTGCTATTGTGCTACATAATCTATAAAGACTGAAACAGCACCACAAGGCAAAAACTCCCATTACAAATGCTGGATAATCCACAGCCTCACTCTGAGGGATGGATATATATATATATGTATGTTTATTTTTCCCCAGGTGAGAAATAATAGCAAGGGCATATTAAGTACCAGTGAAACCGAGGAAGTATATTTTATTTAGATCATGTATTTGAAAACTCACATTGTATGCCTGAAGTACTTGACTAGCATTCTGGGAACTGGTTGGAAGCCCAAGGATAAAACCTACAAAAAACTCATCAAAGCTCTTATAGGGGAGACAAATATACATGAAGGTTTTGCCAAGTAGTTTTGAGAAAATGAAGCAGTATTCAAAAGCACGTATTTGAATCCAAGATCTTTTTATATGTCCGATCATATTTGACCCTTTTATTATTTGTTTGAGACAGTCTCTCTATGTAGTTCAGGCTGGTCCTGAATCCACTATGTAGCCCAGGCTGGCTGTGAACTCCTGGCACTCCTCCTGCCTCCACCTCTGGATGTCTGGAGGTGCACCACCACACCCCATCTGATCCTTTTAAATGTGGGTGATTCTGTTCCTTCCTCCAGAGGCAGCATAAAGAAATTAGCTCTTCTCTCGTCACTCTCCCCACACTCTGTTCGGAAACTAGAACCAGAATACTTTAAGCACTTTACTGACGTAGTAGCACTTTGCTGTGAGATAAGTGAGCAGGAAAAACAGTAAATGTCAAATCATCAGGAGATGAGTTGATAAACTTAAAACTGATAAGATCTACAATAAAATAAAATAAAACTTGTGGGCGATACTGTTTACAAACCGACTGACAGAGAACTCCCATGGGAGCTATGAATCGCCACTACCGCCAGTCTGGTTTGTTCTAAAAGCAAACAGCTGCTGAAATTTTTATTCTTTGTTTAAAAGTAAATCTTCTGATTTTAAAAAAAAATGCTTGCCCCCATCTGTCCATGAGATCCTTTGTCATCAGGAATGCTTGTCTTGAAATTGTTGCTTCTGCCATTTGGACCTTCAAAGTCATGGAAGATTTCTGTTTCTTGAGCAAGTAACGGCCTGATGTAAATATGAAAGCTTGCAAAGGCTCCTAAGCACAAATGGCTTCTCCAGGTGATAAACAAAGAGAGGGTTCCGTGTGGAGTCCCGAGTACATCTGCCACAGGCAAAGCGCAAGCTCACCATTTGTGACCCTGCGCGCCAGTGCGCTTTCTGTCTCCCTAAATGCGTGTTCTGCACATTTAATGGACAGCTAGACTAATGGAATATAACAGGAAGCCCAAAACATATACAAAGTCCACCAAAAAAGTAGTATAACCAGGAAAAGAAAAACGCATAAACATTTTAATACTAAATTTCTCAACATAGCATGAGATATAAACAAGCCACCTTTGGCTTCTACACTTGTAAGAAGTATGCAAAGTGGGGGCCATCAGCTTGTAGAAACCCAGTATGGTGAATGGCTGAAGTGTGTATACATCTCAGGGGAGGCGGCGGACTCTGTATATACTACAGTAGTGAAGAGGGAACCTCAAAATGATAAGCAACCACTCAGTTATGGTAAAAACGGAGCTGGGCAGCCACTTGAAAAAAAAGTGACGCCAAAGCATGTTCCACGATTGCGCAGGACTCTGCCAGAATGAAATCCATGCATCTGGAATAGCCCATTAAAAAAAGGAGTGGAAAAAAAGCTAAATCGAATCGACACCTCAGAGGACACACTTGGATAAAGTTCAAATGGATTATTAATGTAAAATAAAAAATGAACTCACACAGAACTATAAAAGAAAAGCAAGAGATTTTATATATAATTTCACAGTCGAGAAGGCCTTTCCATGACACAAAATGCAGAATCATAAAAGAGAAAGTTGCTAAATTCGCCATCAGAAAAAATGTTAGAGATTTTGGGAAGATGGTGGGCTACAGGCGGCCTGTACTCAGAAGCTGCCCTAGAGCCTGGTGGGGAACCTCTGCCATGCGTGCCACAGCAGGCTGTATCACAGAAAGCTCCTCAAGGGTCACCATCACTGTTCTGGAGTATCTGTGCAAATCAACAGGTAGGCAGCTCTGCGAGGAGACAAGGAAACTGCAGGAAGCTGTGAGACTACATCTGGAAAGAGCTGGCAATCCCAAATACTGGTACAGACATTCCTCATTTAATGACCAAGTTCTTTTCCTGCACGAAGAGGTCGTTAGATGAATGGGTCCCTCAATGAGGAATTGAAGTATGCGCCTAAGTTTCAGAACAAAGAAACAGTCAAGGGAAATGCTAAGCTGATGACTTTGCTTTTATTTGTGTAACTCTCATGCAGTACTATGATGTATAACAGGACACGAAACTACAGCGCTATACTACACAGCACAATCAGGAAAAATTACTGTACTGTATAAACAAGGTGTACTGACACTGAGGCTCTATCACCAGGATGTACAGAACTGTACCAAAAACAAAACAAAAAACAGATGGGTTGCAAGTCTGAGCAGCGCGGTTTGGTGATAAGTCTCAACAGTCATTAACAAGTAGGTTGTTCCGGGAGGATTATCTGTATTCAGAAAGACAGGTGAATTTACTCAGCCAGCAAACTCTAGCATCATGCTGTGCCTGGGTCGGGAGAGGCATCTTCCCCTCCTGTGCAAGGAGAAAAGGAAAACTGATCACAGGGCTGTGAGCACTGGCCATTCCTGGACAGAGGGCTGTGGAGTGGTCATTCCCACCCTTCTCTCCAGACTCAGCTGGGGTCTGCTTGGGAAGTCACTTCAGAAGTCCCTGTCCCCTGAGAGAACAAGCACCAAACTGGGTTCTGGCAGAATTAGGATGGGAAAGCATCCTGCATCTTTGCCTGTGCTTAGAAAAATCCCGTGTTTTCTGGAACTCCAAGCTATGACAGCCACCCCGCTATAGGAACAAAGTGCCTACCCGCCCTAAGAGTTAGCACGTGCTCAGGAAAAAAGTGACTATGCCATGGTGCCACTAAAGTCATGTGATCCAGAGAAAGATCTTAGTTTCAGGTTGCCGGAGACCAAACTCCCTCTGGTCTGGAAAGATCTGGGCAGGGCAGAGAGGCACTTCGAGGCAGTAGCAGTCTGATTACAGCAGTGGGTGCTCAGGGTGGGACTTTGCAGGGGGAGGGGCTCTGAGTCTGGGTCAACCCAGCAGCACTAGAAGAAGACGGGCACCGACGGCCCTACGGCTAGCACAGGCCCTGCATGCCTCCCCACTTCTGTTATGTCTTATCCGGTCACATCATGCTCCTCGCCTCAAGGGTTGGATCACAGGCTTTGTTAAATGTTGTCTTCCGGTATCTTTCTCACTTTCCATTTATAGCTCTCTCTTTTTCTCCTTCCCTTTTCATGTTCTCTCAAACCTTACCTCCCTCCCCTCTTCTTTTCTTGTACGTAAATATCATTAAAACCTATTTTCCCCTTTACGTTTGTGCATATCGGAGGAGAGTGCATACATATATACCTGAGCGAGTGTTAGTCTCTGCCTGTGCTTTCGTAGTACTCCCTTGTTTTGTCGTGTTCTCCCCCAATAAGGGCTGGTACATGGGTCTTCAACTTCATGTTTTTGCTGGCTTGTTACCTGGAGTTGATCTCCCTGTATCTTTCTTTCCACGTATATTCCCATCTTTCTTCTTCTTTCATTCTTTCTTCTTTCCTTCTCCTCAAATAACCATTCAAACCTCTATGCCCTCTTTCCTTTTTTCCCTTTTTCTTTTTTTCTGTTTTCTCCCTGCCTCTTTAACATGATTATTATTTCTTTACCTTCCTTGGTTAGTGAAATAGTGAAGAACTTTTTGCTTTTTTAAGTTTTAGTTTGTCTACTGTGAACTGAACTCACGACCTCACACTTGCTAGGTAGGTGCTGTGGCACTGACTTGTATCCCTGGCCCTAGAGTGGAGAGCTTTTTAAACAAGTTTAAATATGCTGATATATGGTTGGACCTTTGGATGCTGATATTACTTGTAATTGTTTCTCCTATAAAAGCAAGAAGAGATTGAAACTAGTACCTTGAAGAGTCACTTTGAGTCACTCCAAAAGCCAATCACACACCACAGAGAGACACTAAAGAAATAAACTTCAAAAATATAAGAATCATGACAAAAGAAGGCAAGAAGATGCCTCTAAAAGTTGGAAACTCTCCAAAAGCTGATCCCATACATACATCAGTGAGTGAAATCCTAGAAAAAGAATTTTAAAGACTGATGAGATTAAAAAAGAAAAAAAAGTAGCTGAACTAATTGTTACTATAATCATCAGTGAGCTTAAAGAAAATGCAAATAACCAGTTGAATGAATTAAGAAAGATAATGTAGGCAATGAAAGACTGCATCAGCAAAGAGACAGATTCTGAAAAAGACCTAAGCAGAAATCATGAAAATGAAAATCTCAATAAATCAAATAAACTCAACTGAAAGTCTCAGCAATAGGCAGGATAAATCAGAAGAAGGAAATCAAGACTTGAAGATAAAGTATACTAGAACATTCAGTTAGTAATGATGAAAAAGAAAGGATTAGAAACAAAGAAAAGATTATTCAAAAGCTGCTAGACAACGCTAAAAGAACAAATTTAAGAATCATTAGGTGTTAAAAATAGACTAAGGGCATAAAAAATCCATTCCCTGAAATTAGTGCATAAAAATTCTCAAACCAAAGGCGTGAGATGGATACTTAGGTAAAGGCCACATTTAGAATTCCAAATGGACAGAACCAGAAAAGAACCTGTCCAAAACACATCGCAGTCAAATAGTTAGGAACTCAGAATGAAGAAAGCATTTTAAAAGCTGTTAGAGAAAAGCATCAAATCATTTGTAAGGGCAAAGCCATTAGAATAATAGCAGATTTCTCAACAGAAACCTGAAAGCCCAAAAGGGCTGGAAATAGTTTTTAAAAACCTGAAAGAAAGTAACTGCCAATCTAGATTATTATACCTTGCAAGGTTATCCTTCAGAATCAAAGGAGAAATAAAGACTTTCCATGATAAGGACAAACTAAAGAAATTCATGACCACCAAACCAGCATTACAGAAAACACTTGTGGGAATCCTAAGCAGAGATGGTGAGCACAACAAATTCCATGAGGTCAAAGGTAATGAGAAAGTGGAGCACAGTTAAGCGAATGAAACACAAAAGAACAAAGTGACAGGAATACATACATATCTTTCAAAATAACATTTTAACTCTCCAATTACATATAAGATGCAGACTGGAAGACTGGATAAAAAGACAACCAACCAAACAAACAAGCAAGATCCATCTGTATGTTGCCTGCAAGAGACACATCTCATCTGGAAAGATATATATATAGCTTTAAAATGAAAGGTTGGAAAATAACACTGTAAGCAGCTGGAGCCTGAAAGCAAGTAGGAGTAGCTAA